TACGGTATAGCGTAATATATATATATATACACGTAGGATAAATAGTTGCATTAAGTAGTATATAAAGTTTCAGAAATTTTGAACAATTTCAACTTTCTCCAAAATTTCTAACTATGTGGGACGGTAGAAATAAAGCGAATCATAGATCTTTATAATTCCTTAGCAAACCATCACAGTAGATTTAATCATGCGATAACATTAATGACACTTTACTGCAAGCTACTCTAATGCTATAGAGCACCCTCTTGTAGATTCGTGTAATTTCAACAAAAATTCTCGTGACAAGACATGTCTGCGCAGCAACAACAAACTAATTCCCTGGATTTTTGAGCGTGAGCAGAAATCAATGTCCCACTGATTCCAGGTCTACATAGTGTTTGATGGTTCAATTAAATCATTCATACTCGCGATGTTCAATAAATGTTTCCATGCATTACATCTTTTATACATTTTTGGTTTCTTACATCTGTTGCGGTGTTTTTTTGACGCTTCCGGGTACGGATCGCTAAACTGGCAGGAGTTTAGATTATGCACGGAAATCAATGTATATATGACCGACTGATTCCAGGTCTACATAGTGTTTGATAGTTCAATTAAATCATTCGTACTCGTGATGTTCAATAAATGTTTCCATGCGTTATATCTTTTATGCATTTTTGGTATCCTACATCTGTCGCAGCGTTCCTTTGACGCATCTGGGAATGGGTTGCTATATTTCTCAATCATTAAAAGTCTTTAATTCCTGAAAGTGTTTGGCATCCTTCAAATATTAGAGTTTTGTATTGTGATTTCCAATTCCTATTGGGAGGAAAATTTAAGATATAAAACTTTTACCAAATATTATAATTATTTATAAACTTGAATTCACCTTTTATAAATATATCACGTGGGAGAAAGCTTCACTTTTAAGTTGGAATCTAAATCCCATCCATTTTTGTTATATAAAAAAACTAACCTTGTATACATACAGTGAAACCTGTTTTTGTGCGATCCTTTTTTATGCGATTTTATTTTTGTGCGATTGGTTTTGTGCGATTTTATTTTCGTGCGATTTTTTTTTGTGCGATTTATTTTTATGAGGTATATGAATCTTAGCGGCGTTAGCACCAGTTTAATGTTTCCTATCAATGTGCATATACAGTGGTGGCCAAAAGTGTGGACACTTTACACTTCTTTTCATCGAGTGAACGAGTGTTTGGAGTTCATCTTTCGTAATCACATGGTGCCAAGAATCAATTATAGCTTCACTAAGTTGTCTTTTATTGGATGGACGTTTTTTTCGTACAAGAATTTTCAAACGTCGCCACAAATTTTCAATTGGATTGAGATCAGGACTGTTTCCTGGCCATGGTAATGTATATATGCCTTTATTTTGAAAGCATGCTTTGCATACTTTTGCTGTGTGGCATGGAGCTGAATCCTGCTGAAAAATAAATNTGGTTTTATGCGATTTTATTTTTGTGCGATTTTTTTTGTGCGAATTATTTTTATGCGGTATATGAACCTTAACGGCGTTAGCACCAGTTTAATGTTTCCTATCAATGTGCATATGCATGTTGTGGACGAACTCTGATTACGTGGTCTCCTTGACAACGATGTATCTGAACTTCGCGATGCTCTGTTTATTTACTTTCATTAGTTCATTTATTATCGTCAACTCCATTTTCTCTTCTGTTTAAAATTTATTCTGCACTAAACAAGTTGAAGTAAATCAGTAAAACATCGGTAGCCGTGTTAAAATGCTTAGTATTTTCAAATTCGCTATCGCAGCGAACTATAGGGGGCGTTGTTGTATGAGACTAATACCTGCGAATTCTATATGAACAGTCATTCATTTACTCTAGAGACGTCTTTATTGTAGCGTGTAGCATTGCATAGTTCCTTCTTTATCTTGGCTACTTAAATGTAAAAAAGAAAAATGTTAAATATCCTTTCTTATGCAAACGAAAACAAAATGGTATCTCCTTTTTTAGAGAAGGAACATCCAGAACCCATCGGAAAAATATTTGCACATAAACAGAAAAAAATATGTATATTCTTATAAGAGTTAAAACCCAATTCCTGAGAAATAGTTTTACTAAATTTAATGATATAACATGAAAGGCCTATTTAAACTTTACTTTCCATAGAATTAAGAATCATATTACTTCAAAAATCAAAATGAACAAAAAATATACATAAGCCTCATTTTATGAAATTTAATTTAGTAAAAAAAGTTTTTTAACAACAATTTTCATCAAAAAATTTAAAGTTTCAATAAAAATCATTATTTGGAAACTAAAAAACGTAAAATAAAGAATGCTTACGATACAAAGCAAAAAAGAAAAAACCAATTCTAAAAATTCCTTACATTAAAATAAACAACTTTCATGTTTTTTCTATTTTGATTCATAATCGGAAGCAGAAAACCATTCTATAGAAAACTATAATCAAATAAGAAAAAAACTACTTAAAAATAAAAATTTTTATTTTATAAAAATTAACACTTACCTGCTTTATAAGTCAAAAGAATTCCGAAATGATTTGTTTTTCGATTTTTGTTAACATTTTTTAGTGCTACGAAAATGCGTCTTTGGGATTTGCCAAAAATAGAGAAAGATGCAATTTTATTTCTTTAGGAGCGAAATATTTTGCCCATTGTCCACCGAAATCCGATAAACTACTTTGATTTTAAATAAAGTGTTTCATTTTATGATTTGTCACAGAAATTTTAGGTGTAGATCGGCGCACTTAAAAACCGCCAAATCTGTAGCTGCTGTGGCGTTAGTACATTAGTACCAAATTTTTATTCATACTTTTCTGAATCTAATTACTGGAAACATTAGAATATGCAAGAAGTATACATAAACACATAATGTTATAAAATTTATGTTTTCAAAAAAAGTATTTTGACAACAATTTTTATCAAAAAATTATAAACTATAAAACGGAAAATAAAGAATTCTTAAGATAAAAAACGATTTTAAGAATTTTTTACATTGAAATAAAAACTTTTTTTTTTTATTATTCTTATAGTTCTTAATCAGACGTAAAAACCATCCTGTAGAGAACTATCATCAAATAAGAAAAAAAATTTACAAGCTAATTTTTTATTATAAAAATCATAACACTTCTTTATAAATCCGCAGAGTTCTAAATGAAATGTTCTTCGTTTGAAAGTTTTATTTTCAAATAATATGTACATAGATTATCCCTTTATTACTTTTAGATAACGTACCACACATCAAAATTTTATAATTGCAAGATTTCGATATGAATTTGAATATGTAGCTTAAAAACAGAACAGCTGAATTCTAGATGAAATTATCTATTCTTTCAAAACTAAAAAATACTTACCAAGAAAACGATGCAAAAATTTATTAATCATCAGCACAAATGAAACTTTTTCAAGTAATTTAGTTGATTCTTTATTGTTGTTTTCCGAATTATATAGATACAGAAATATATACTGTTCTATAACAAAAAAGAGTATTCTATAACTATTGGAGTTCTTGACGTTCTGAATTCACATTTATTTATTGGAATGACGAAAGCAATGTTGACTTCATTTTAATTTGTAATGAATTGAAGACAAAATAAATTATTTTACCGTAATATACACATCTGTAACAGCAAGTGATCATGAAATTGTAAGTTATGTTCTTGGTAACAGAAAGGTAAAAATTATGGAGAAATTGTTCTTCAAATGCTTGGCGTGTTCTCTTCAATGTTTGGCATGCTCTGGTACGATTTCTTTTATGCGGTCCCTATCCACCGCACAAAAACAGGTTTTACGGTATAGCGTAATGTTTTTTTCAAAATGAAAAAGATTTTCAAATTTATTCACTCCACCAATATTTACCATGGCACACATGATTATTTTCCATTCTGAAATTATAACTTCAAAATAAGTTTTCAGATGTTTGAGAAAAAGGGAATGAATGATAC